GGTGTTACTGTACATTTGTGTTTTTTTTTTGTACTTTTGTATTAGGATTAGTAAAGAAAGAGCACACAATGAATGCATTGCATGGGTGGTACAAGGGAATTTATTGTGATAGATGAAAGCAACATCCACCATAAAGGGAAGGTGGGATATCCTTTTTGTAACTATTTTTTAAAAGTGAAAACAAGTTGGAACAACTGAAATATCTATATCAAATTTTAAAATAAACTCTTGTCATTTCCTGAAACCACCGTAATCTAAATAACACTTCAATATAGTGATAGCTAATAGCTAATTTTACATAATAATTACAAAATTTGTCTAATTTTTAAAAAGGTTTTTATTTTATGAAAAATTAACCTTATTAAATGAACTATTATTTATAAGATTTGTTTTCCTTCTTGGGCCTGAAATGGAGGAATTTTGGTCAATATTGATAATTAAACAATATTTTGCTAAATGTGCTTTTGTGATGAAACCTTGGCTAGTTTCGGCCTGTCATGGATAAATAATGATGACAATAAACCCACCAGTAGGTGGCAGCAAGCCCCTGTTTTGATAAATGATTTATTGAATCGTTCAAATCAAACGATTCGTTTAAAACGGCTGATTCAATTTGAAACGAAACAAGCCTGCGTCCCAATGTGCATACTATCCATCCTAAATTCTATGTGATATTAGGAATTTTCAATACTATTCAGGGCAGATAGGCTGGATAGTATGCACATTGGGACGCAGGGAAAATGTCCATCTGAATGGGCCATTGAATCACTGGCTCACTTGATTCGTTCAAAAACTTATTTATTCAAGGAATGATACACTGTTACTATGCACTGTTGTATAAAATTAATAGCACATTTGTGCTCGCGCATGTATGCTTACTGATATTCAGAAAAGTGCATTGCTTGTGCAATGAACAGCCGATCCTCCGATCGCCACCAGTGGGCGCTATCACCTGAGCACTGATCCCTCTCACGGACTTCTCACCTGCAGTCAATCCCATGGATTATTTAGCCAGAACTCTCACTCACACTCCTTGCGAAGTTTTGTTTTGCCGTGGCTAACAACTCTGACCCCTGCCTGTTTGTTCTACATAAATCTCTGTGAACAAAGCTGCACATGGATCCTAACTCAGTTGACTCAGCATTACACATGCACTTTTTAAAAATCTACAAATGATTTTAAGAGAAATTATACAATGATTACAAGTTTATTTGTTAATGTACTTTTGAATGCCAACAAATGTCATTAAACTTCAGTTCACATATTAGCTAATGCTATTTTTTACATTTACAAATGTTGAGAAAATATAGCTTAATTAGTCATTTTAAGCACTTCACAAACTATTCATCTTACCTATTATTCATTAACTCATAACTCACAGTCTGTAAAAATTCAAGAAAATATTAATTTATCATTTATCAAAATTGTTGTACACTGTTGACCTCTTAACCAACCCTTAAACTTACCCAAACCCCCAAACCCTAACCTTACGCATATCGCACCCCAATAGCAGCAAAAGTGTTGCACATTAACAAAAGTTTTAAATAATTGTACATTGTACAATTGTACATACAGTAGTGCTAGTCATTTGTCCTGCATTACTTGTTGTTTAGTTTTGAATGAATTATGAAACTTTCTCATTAGTTCTCTGGGAAGCATGAAAAAATAGTAGTTATTGATTAGTTAATAGTGAACTGCCAATGACATCTGTGTGCTATTACTTACTAATTCATTAATCAGAGTTTCTTGATAGTTATTTGTAGTCACTAGATTGTTAATATTGTGTTACTCATTTGATCCTGTTTAGTTAATTATTAATGTCGAAACAGTATTCTAAAGTGTTACCAAACATCCTTTTTTTCTCCTAAAATGGGTTTTCAGTTTTGCATTAAGCCAAGGCTTGTTGTTTGAATGACATATGACAATCTTTGTATCAATAACATTATCAACACATAATGAGATATTGCTACACACCACATCAGTCAGCTCAATTATATTGTCTGAGGACTTTTGAAAAGCAGTCAAGTCTGTGCATTCAGAGCACCCTTGTAGAGCCATTATGCCATCCTCATATCACACCTGAACCTTTTATGTCTCTGTGCTTCTTCTACATAGCACAGTCTTGTATATTGGGAACAGATGCACCACACAATCGTCAGAAGAGTGCAATGGGGGATCAGTGGTGAATATATATGCCCCTTTTATAGACCCGTAGCATAAATCAAGAGTCTTATTCCCACGAGTGTGACAGGTAATGTACTGATGAAAAGGTCTTAATGCTTTGTTGCAATTACTATGATTAAAATCACCCCCCTGCCCAAAAAAAAAAAAACAACAACAACAGGTTATCAGGTGAGACAGACTGAAGTATCTTTACAAAAAGGAAATTCTCTAGGCAGATAATATAGTCTCACAGAAAGTTTACCTTATATCAGGTAAATAAAAATTAATTAAATTAAAATTATTTCTGAAAGATGCACAGAAACGGTTTGATTTGATTTGCAATCATGCTTTGTATCATAGGTCTAGGCAATAGACCAAAAAAAAATATCACAATATTTTTTTTTTATATCAGTCAATATCGATAAGTATCACAATAAATGTCAAATTTTTATTTATTTTAGGCATATTTTTTACTTCTGAGGGAAAGTGGAGTGGTTTTAAACTACTCTTAATTGTCAGAACATGACAAAAACTTGCCAAAAGGTGAATCTAATACTTGCTACAAGCTGCAATTAAAAAATTTTAAATTTTAAATTTTTTGACTACAAACTTATTCAAACATATATTTAATAAAGAAGACAATATGTTACGTAAAAATATAATGGATATGCAATCCAGTGCATATATTTAGTTATTTTTATTTTTTTATATATATATATATTTAGATGTCTGACTCCTCTCCATCTCCAAACATGCTGCAAAATCTAAAAGACAAGTGTCTCCTAAGAAGAGTGTCAGCACCTATGCAATGTGAATATGCACACACAAAACTGCTTACCCTTTAAATGCGCACACACAGCAAAGTCTGACTACTGATAAATCTCAGAGCTTGATTGATAATCACAAATGTGCTCTCAGAAACTATTTTTGTGCTACCCACTCCATCACATACGTACACTAACACACACACACACACACACACACACACACACACACCTTCAGACTCTTGCAAACAATAAATTGGTGAGCACATCTAGCAAGCTGATGTCCAGATGGTGGCAGAAGATGAGTCTTCTAACTTCAGAGTCAGCAGACTGGTGAAAGATCAATGAACAGACACTGAGCCAGGGGCAGGAAATCGAGCCTAGATCTTCAAAAATCAATCAGCAATTTAAACTCTGTGGGAAAGGTGTGGAAGATGTCTGAAAAGTGGAAGGCAGAAAATATAGGAGTGAGTGCCTTCCTTCTTTCAATAAAAAAAGAACATTCCTACTAAGTAAAGGATCTAATCCATCATAGTTCATTTCCAAAGGTGGATGTTACCAGTGGATGAAAAACTCCAAAAGTTATTATAGTAAAAATATAGTGGACTACTATGTGAACTATATGGACTACTCCCCGGTAGACTCACACTATGGAATTGTATCTGTGTATTGCACTTAGCTGGAGTGTATTGAATAAAGTTAATAAATTCCTTCTAAGCTGAAAAGCTCAAAAGTGAAGTAATGATGGCAGAGGAAGTGGTTGATGTGGTGTTTAAGTCAATGTCTGAGATGCTGCATTGACATTATTGAACTAGTGAGTCATCCACTAAGAAAATGACTGACAGGGCACTGGACTTGCAATCGAAGTCATGGATTAATCACTGGGAAAAAATAAATAAATATATAATAGAGTCTGCAAGCAGAGGGGAAAATGTGTAAAAACAACACTAGTCTTCTAATTATCTATAGAAAACAAGGAGTAGGCCATTGGTAGATGGTTTCGATGGTTGTTCAGAGTAGTTTCTAGGTTGGTTCTCAGTGGCCAAAGCTCAAAAGAGTACACCCGCAAATTTCAGATATTCCAGTCACTATATATGGCTCAGAGGAGGATTGCACCAGCTATATGGAAGTTAACTTAATAAATGGGCACTATGTTACAATTTACACACTACTGTTTGTCTCATTTGAGCTATTTCCTATGTCCGGTCTCAAATACCTTAATTTTTCCCTAATTAAGAGTATGTTTAACAGTCGTGGCCTAATGGTTAGATAGTCGGACTTGTAACCCAAAGGTCGTGGGTTCGAGTCTTGGCAGCAGGGATTGTAGGTGGAGGAGTGAATGTACAGCGCTCTCTCCCACCTTCATTATCATGACTGATTTCACAACTGTCAGTGATGGATTTTTTGTTTCTTGCCACTGTTACCTTTGGCTTGCTTAGTTGGAGACACTTGACTGATTGCACAGACACTATTGGAAGAGAACTGAACTGGATGATGACATCACTGAATCATCAATGAACTAACTTTAGCTGGAAAAATGACTCTGTTATCGTCTTCTTGCATTATTGACAAACTATTTTCCTGTTTGACACTGTAAAGCTGCTTTGACACAATCTGTATTGTATAAAGCACTATACAAATGAGCCAGAGGAGAACTGCCCCCCCGACTGAGCCTGGTTTCTCCCAAGGTTTTTTTTCCATTCTGTCACCGATGGAGTTTTGGTTCCTCTGGCTTGCTTAGTTGGGGACACATAATTTCCAGCGATATCGTCGACTTGATTGCACAAATCCTATTTAACTGAACTGAGCTGGATGATGACATCACTGAATTCAATGATGAACTGCCTTTACCTGAAAATTGAGTGTTTATTGTCATTTTGCATTATTGACACACTATTTTCCTAATTAATGCTGTACAGTTGCTTTGACACAATATGTATTGTTAAAAGCGCTATATAAATAAACGTGACTTGACTTAACAAATAAAGGTGACGTGAGACCATTGAGCAAGGCACCGAACCCCCAACTGCTCCCTGGGCGCTGCTCCGGGTGTATGTTCAATGTGTGTCTGTGTGTGTGTGTGTGTGCACTTGGATGGGTTTAATGCAGAGCACAAATTCCGAACATGGGACACCACACTTGGCCACATGCCTCGCCACTGAGGTGAATGTCTACATTTCTTTTGTTAAATGTTCTGTGGGCCTTCAGGCTGCCCAAGCCTTCCTGAACTTGATTTGAACCATGCTAATGCACTTTCACTAATGCCAACAAAGTTTTCTAGTCTATTCAAAAGAATGTTGTGGTCAATAGTGTTGAACGCAGCGCTAACATCCAGTATACATGTTGTTGGTTTAGATGATTTAACAAGTTTATACAATTCTTCCTCTCCTATAGTAGAGAATGAGTGGAATTATTCCTCAGGGGATCTATAGCACACTATCTGATGCAATACTGTAGCTGATGGCTGCATGGTTACAATTCTATCTCTAATAGTATCGATCTTGGAAGTAAAATAGTTCATAAAGTCATTACTGCTGTGCTGTTGGGAAATGTCAACACCTGTTGA